TCCCCCCTCCCCCTATTTAGTTGGCTTCTTCCGTGAAGCGGAAGTTTTCATGCAGCTACTTCCGGGTTGTTGTCACGGACGCTTTCTGTCCCCGGAAATAACGGCAATATCTGGATATCATACAGCACTTATTGACTATTGGTGATGGTTGATTGATCGATAATATTAACAACGTGATTCTGACAGAGAGCCTGCTTATGAAACCGTAGAGCTGTTTACGAAAACTGCTGAATTAACGTTCCGTGACAGCGAGATAAGCTACCATCACAGTAACCATATAAACCTAACGTTACGTGGTGGCATATTTGCTGTTTAAGTGTTTTGGTATACTGTTTTTTTAAAGCTACATATGGCTGTCTTAACATAAATGTGGCAGCAAATGAGGCTGTCCATATTCCTGTGTGTGATGGATTAGCATTTAAACGAGAGACAAATAAAAGGAGCTTTTGAAAGGTAAGAAACCGTTAGCCAAATTAAAGGCTACATGATGTAACACTGAACCACTATGTTTATGTGACACGGGTGCCATGTGAATCGAGCACATTTAAAAGTTAGCAAGTACAGTGGCAATTCTTTGTTATGCTGAGACCGACTGCCTTATCTGTGACACATGGTCAAATACTATAAGTTGGTAATGTTTAAAATCCACTGATCAGCATTTAAAGTGACAGTCTGAGGTATCTCTCTAATTGATGTGTTGCTTACATCTACAAACAGATGCTATTTCTTAACACCAGGCTATAGAAGATACAACTAGTATAATATAATATCATTAAATGAGCTTTATTTTCAAGCCATGACTTGTTTTGATAAATAGTTAACATTAATTTTGATAACTATGAAGTGTGATGATTCTCAGCTTTTCGGTCCATTGTATTATTTAAAACTGAATCACATTTTGGTTTTAAGCTGTTTTTAAAAAAAAAGAAAACTTATTATTTTAATGTGTGGTCACAGAGGTCTTTTTTCTGACTATGGATGAAATGAAAAGCAAGTAAAAGTCAAGAGCTCCACTCTCTCAGTCACTTGTTTTGTACACCTCTCAACATATACAATATGTGCGATTGTACCACCAAAAATACTCAAAATACTGTTATAATATTCAAGTGTACCAAATGAGAATTAAATTAGAATATAATGCATTTTAAGCCCTGGTGATAAAAGGATTAAGATGAAAACGGTATTTTAAATATTATATATATGCACATTAAATACCTTTGGGTTTTAGACCATTGGTTAAAAAGACAATAATTTAAGCAATTTAACTTAGGGTCTGTTATATTCACTATTTTAACTATTATCTGGCATTGTACAAACTAAATGATTGAACACTATAGGCTATACAATTAATTGATAATATAAATAGTTGTCTGTGCATCCATATTGGACATATTCATCTTTCCAGCTTAGGATGTATTGATATAGTTAATTTGTACCTAACTGCAGTTATTAAATACAACCATTGAAACTTTCATGTTTATGTCTGTTCTCCTCCGGTAAATGAATGTTTAGTAAATGATTTAAGCTACACAATATGAGCTGCTCCAGTGTAACAATATTGTCTGGTTTTTCAATATTTGTAATTGACTCATTGCTCAGGGTACTTTAATACTGTTGAATGATGATGATTATTACAGAGAAAACAGCAATGACAAGTAATATCAGGATTAAGTCATGTATTATTCACCCCCTCAGTGTAGGCTAATCACATGGGCATTTGTTATTATATTGCTAGTTGTTTCACCGCAATTTCTAAACAGTCTTACACAACATATTTTACGAAGATATGGTGTAGACATATTTCCCTATAGTAAAGGAAAAAAAGTGATCAATATATCTGAAAATGAGTAGTGCCTATTAAATTGACCAGAACTATCACTATATCAGGAGGGATGAAACTAAAGCCCATATAAGGAGTTACTGTTAAACAGAAAATCAGTCAAATGCAGTGCGCTGTAGTGGGACTATGTGGTTGCACAGCAACAGTGAAGCCATGCTCCCCCCTGAGAGTGCATTAGATAATTCTCCCCAGTATTGTGATCTTAGAATATGCACCTATTTAATTTATCATGTTTCCTTTACTGCAGACTGTTAGGTAAAAGGTACGCTCTTTAAAATAGTGTTGACTTGACATGCTCTAAGTAGCTTTAAAGCGACGGCCTGGGGGACATGCTGCTAAATATTTCAGGACAAACTCATTACTGTAAATGGGCCTGTTTGTTAGCCTAGCTGGGGTAGACAGGCAGCAGCAAGAGAGATAGGACAGTGATGTGTGTGTGTAAGTGTTTCCCCTGATCTAATAGCTGTGGAGTGGATGTCTGAAGCAGGCAGCGTCTCAGTGCCTGGCCCAGTTGTCCCTGTTGCAAGACTGTGAAACACACAGGGGCTCTTCCAACATCTGCTTTGTAAAGAGCTAATGACAAGACGATGGAGACCGGATGATTTAAAGTATATTACTAATGAGGCCCTGTGTGCTGCTTGGAGAATCCTAACACGCTCACTTACTGTACATGTACACACTTATGCTCAAGTTAACAGATGATATGTTGGCGGACCAGGAGGTAGACACCCAGCAGACATACATTCAGAACTCCTGTCCATCTGTGAGTCTGTCTCTGATAGGTGTGCAGTGTTGTAGACAACACACACACAAATGAAGGGTATTCACAATAACATTCAACCACTTACACTGTATGGCTTAGCCCAAATAATTACAATGTTGAATATCTAATCCATGGATTTAAAATGGTATTCATTTTCAGAAATGGCTGAATAAAGACCCCTACTCAGACAGTGGCACAGAGGGAGTGTGTTGATGAGGGGAAACAGTAAGAGAGAAGAAGAGAGGGAGAAATAAGAAAGGACAAGCTTAACTGGTGTGGCTGTCAGCGGAGGAAAATAATATTTGTCCAGCTGGACAGGCCTCCCTTTGTGCAGGCTAAATGAATGTTGAGCTTCCTGTCTGCCCTGTCAGGGAGAGTGGCACAGACTGTATGCAGCAGTGTAGGAGCGGAGCGGAGTGTGGGGAGCTGTTTGGAGTTTGACAGGGATTATTAAAATCAGAGCAGATGACGAGGAAGGGGCGAGAGGCGGAGTGTGAGAAAGCCAAATTGACACAGACACTCTCCATTACCTTCCACTTGACTCGCGTTGATGACAATGTTGATATGAGACCCGGCAACGCAACACTGGTGTGGGATTGGCTGTTAGCATGAGCGTTAAGCACCACAGAATGGGGGGGGTTGCCCACAGTTGTGGCAGAGACGTAAGATGAGTTGTTTATTTAAAGCCTCGACTGAAGAGCACCTCACCTCATTGTTTATTTATTTGGTCTATTTTTTGTGTTGCTTTGTTAACTCACTGTAGTGTCAGTAGGTGGAAATGGTTAGAGGCTGAGGCAATGCATTTTGATCAGGGGTCCTCCAACTGCAAATGATTGTCTGAGGAAAGAGGAGGGGAACTGGAAGAAACCATTTTCATTGATGATAAGCTTCCTTTTGTTTCAGGTGCAATTGATTTGTGCCTCCTAATAAGACTCCTGTTGAGGAGATTTCAAATTATTATACTCCTGTGTGTGTGTACATCATGTGTGTGTGTGTGTACATCATGTGTGTGTGTTCAGTTTCTTGACAGACAGCTGTGATAATACAATACTCCACATCTCTGTTATTTGGTGTCAGCCTAAATTGTTGATTTAATCCTGACACCAGTGCTGTCTTTCTCATTATTTTGCTTTATGAACGGATACATGTCATGTGGCGTGGCATGTTTCTAATGTTATACAGTATGGCCGTCTCTCTTTCTCTCTCTAGTTCCTTTTCCCTGCAGAGCAGCATGGAGTGGCCGGGGGATTTCCCTGAAGACCATGCCTTTGTTGATCTGCTGGTTCCAGGGGTTTCCAGTGAGCTGGACTTTGAGCAGCTCCTAAAAGACACAGAGGAGAAACTCAATCTCAATGCGAGCAGGTCAGTTAAGAGAAGAGAAGCAAAAGCATTGACTTAATATGCCCTCTTGATCATTTTGAGCTACAATTACACTAAAGTGTTTTAAATGTATAGTTTTACTACTTTCTTTGACCTACACTTGACCCCTAATTACTTTTACATCACTTTAGGAATTTACTCTTTATAATGTCAAAGCCAGATTGATATTAGGTACTGGCAAAAGAACAACAGAAAGTGGAGTGCAATATAATGTGCAATTCAGTATGTGAAAATACACTTGCACGATGAAAACGTATATACAGTACATGTACCTTTGACAAAACATAGTTCCAGCTTCATGATTTTATTCCTTAGCAAAATGTTTACGTCTGTGGAACTGTTTGTTTATTCTTTTAATTTTTTAAAAGCTGACTTTGTGCTGACAATAACAAGAATCCATTTAAAGAGATGAGCAACCTGCATGACCGGTAATATAGTGCCAGCAATATGAGCTGCGTCGCTAGGTAGTAACATGAAATCTAAATCAAAAGCTGAATATTTTGGACTGTTTTAATTTCTCTTTCGCTCTCTGCAAATCCATAAAAGTTAAATCATGCTGAGCTCCTGAATGAAGAGGTCTAATTTAACAAGTAAACCACGTGGGACAAAAAATTTGAATGCCCGCTATCAAAAATATTAAAACTTTTAAAATAGGATTTGTTCTTAAAGAAACCCCCTCATTTTATTGTCTGGTTTCCTTAGTTGGGATTAAAGGATTTTTACAAACCATCTAACACAACTATCAGAATTCTGCTGGAGAATAAAAACACTGATTTCCTGACCCTATACAGATGGCTAACAGGCCATTTACATGATATTAATCACAAAGACCACAAAGTGTAGGCAATGTGAAGGCATAACAGAACAACATCTTCGATAAAGCTGTATGTTTTTGTATGTGAAATATAGAAATCAAACAAAAATCGGAATACAACTGACTCTAAAATAAATAAATCACACTCCACAGCTGAAGAGCCTGCATTGGTTCATACAGTACATACAGCAGCACATCAAGATAAATCTGGCCAGTTACAGGTAACTGTAGGTGTGCGCTAACCATTCAATAGCAGTAAAGCCTTCATCTAATTTGTTCTGGTTTCATCTGTGCTCGTAAATGTTTCTGTTCCTCTAGTTGAGATGTATTTTTTTTTAATTGAAAGTCATTAAGAGTCCATAATCACACTTTACAATGGTATTCCAGTGTTCCTAAAATGTGTGGTATACACTTTAATAACATAAAGAAAAAGAAGAATTGTTCTTAGTGGTTCAATTAAATGATATGCAATGGAATACGATACAGTTTACTCAAATTAGATTTGTTTCCTTTTGTGCACTGTTACTGAGGACTGAAATATAGATGACTGTCTATGACCCGGACGGGAAAAGTTGGAGAGCCCAAATAGACTGCTAAAGAGAGAGACATGGGGGTGGGAGAAAAAGAGAAATCTATATTTCAGCTCTTTTATCGTTTGTGGCGTTGTGAGGCTGAGGGCAGATGATGAAGGACAGGCTAAATGTAGCAAGTGAACAAAGCCTCACTCTGGTACCATTAGTGGCTGGGACTCATCGGTTCCTCACGCTCTCTCTTTCTCTCGTCTCTCTCTGTCACCCTCCCCGTCTCTCTCTTTCTTTCCTTCCTCCTTCTAAATGGGAACATAATAATTGAAGATTCCACATCTTGAAATGAAAACCCTTGGGTAGGTAATTCAAGGCTTATTACAGAAGGCCAGGCCATTTTTCTGCTTTCTAAGCATTAAAGGGTTATTTTGTGTTCCTGCAGATGGGAGTGGGATAACCATTATGAGAACAAAGCATCCGGATAATGGAGAATGGGGCTAAAAATAAGGCAATCCTCCTCTCGCTGTGGGGGACTACTGGTCAGTGTCTGTCAGGCTTCAGCTAACTCCCTCCCAGACTACTTCAGGAAAGCCCTTTTACCGTCATCCAGGCAAGGTCTTGCAGGGCCTCTTTTTCGCCTCAACCAGGGTGGGCTGTAGACACACACACACACACACACACACCCACCCACCCAC